CGCGGCGTAGCCGAGACTGTGGCACCGCGAGGGGGAGCCGGGGCGCGGTGCGAAGTGCGGGGGCGCTCTGGCCGGTCGCCGCGGCCGCAGGGCCTCAGGTGGGCGCCCAGCCCCGGCATCCAGCGGCCGAAGGCGGAGCCGACGCCCCGGGCCCAGCCAGCCAGCCGCGCCCTCCCCGAGCCACGGGTGGGGCCGCACTCCTGCGCTGGGTTCTTCAGTCACGTCGCGGTCCCCACACCACCCACTCTGAACCCCCGAGAGAAGCTCGAGACCCGGTCCCGGAAGGAGGGGAGGGGCTGCCTCCAAACGGGGTCCTCGCCTCCCGGGGCGGGGGATAGACGGCGACACCCCTGGTGGAGCAGGGAGCCCGGAACTGAAGGTGCCTCTGCGGGGGTCTCCCTCTGGCTGTGCGCGGAGGCTTCTTGCGTCCGGGAAGGGCCCTGGGACTCTGTGCCGCGAGGATGAACGCCGGGAGGCGTGGGGACTAGCGGGGCCCCGGGGACCGCTGGCAGCTGTGGTCAAGGAACGCCAGGATGGCGCGGCGGGCGGCTCTTCACCTGTGCGTGTGAGAAGGCCGGTTGGCTTGGGAGGGACTCGAAGACGTGCTCCTGCTGGACTGTCACATGGCCGCTTCGAGCTCTTGAAAAGGCCTCTTAAATGTGGAAAATCCTGCGTGTGTGTGTGTGTGTGTGAGAGAGAGACAGGAAAGCGAGGAGGACGCGGTCACCGCGGAGGGCCACCAAGTCCTCCCGCCCCGCAGGCCGCTGCGCGGTGCGGCTGGACAGTCACTGGCCACATGTGGCTGCTGAGCACTTGAAGTGAGTCTGAACTGAGATGTGCCTGAGAGTAAAACACAGGGTTTCATAGGCTCAGTTAAATGAGGTAAAATATTCTATCACTATGTTTTGAATATTGACTACACATCAAAAGGGTAATGTTTGGGTATATCATGTTAAATAAAATATTTTTTGAAATGAATTTCACTTGTTTCTTTTAACTTTTAAGAAGGTGACTACTAGAAAACTTAAAATTATGTACATGGGTCACATGCGATGCTGACCTCATATTCCTGTTGACCAGCACTGGTCCGAGGTGAGCATCATGACTACCCCA